GAAATACTGAGCACATATTTTGCTCTCTTTAACTAGGATCATTGTTTGGTTTAGTCGAAATTAAATAAAAGTGTTTACTTTGTTAAAGCAGGTTACAAAACTCTTTTGTAAAGCTCTACAAATGCAAATTTATCCTTGATTGGAATTAATTGAAAGTTTTTCTAGAAAATTAATTTACACTTTTTTTTAACTAGAATATCTGAAATGAAGCTATTCCAACACTAAATATTCATCATCTCCAAGCTTCATCTTTTTGTTCTTTTGGTAGCTGCCAAGATGAATCTACTAATCATATCTCTCTTTACTATCACTTTTGCACAAGTAGTATGATTTGCTTCGAGTCTTTCAATCATATCTAACAAGATGGAGAATGCTAGAATCTTCATTTCTTATTGGATCAAGTTACCTAAATCAAATTCTAGCAAAATGCATACTCTTAATGAAGTGCTCCTGACTATACAGATAATATGGGACTTCAAAAACCTTTCCAAGGATCAATCAAAGAAGGTCCATCCTTTACAAGTAATCCAAAAGGTTAAATGGCATCAATCTTCAATTTCCATAATATAAACTAAGGTGAAAGGAACCGTAATGCAATAAAAATTAGTAAATTTAAAGCTAGAGCCTTGCAAAGCCAAAGCCAAGTATGGATGGTTTCTTTTTTATAAATTTGAAGCTAGATATTTGTGATTCAAGCCCTAAACCCAGAGAGAATACAATTTCTATTATCAAAGATTATAACTTCCTCAATGCAAGAAGAAAAAATAAGTCTAATTAAGGAGATCCTTTGATTCTCTTTATGAAAGAGAGCTAAGGTATACTATCAAATAGATCATAGATTTAGAGCAATTTAGGCCCTCAGGCTTTACTTACATCACTCTGGTGTTTAAAGATTACAAGCTTATAAAAAATCTTATGGGGAGAGCTAGGACAAATATAAAAGCACATATGCTTTGGAAGGATACCAATAATCTATTTTTCCACTTCAAATATCACTGGTTGAAAGAATTATCAAAAAGTTAGATCCCTTAGTGGAAATCTTTAAATTATAGGTGTAATACTCTAGCTAATTGTATTAACTAAATGCTATTTCCCTACTTGAGTAGTTGTTACTTCTAATTCAAAAATAATAATTATATGTATCTTATAAAACTTAATAAATAGATAAACAAGTAAAAAAGTGGATGAATAAAATAAAGAATATGAGTCATACATGAGTGGATGTCTAATATAGTAATAAGTTATACCTCAATTTTCTCTGACCTTTTATAACCATCTTCCTTGTCGACTAACGTGCAATTGATATTGGAGTTTTTGTGTTTATGTATCAACAGAAGTCTTACATTGCTCAAGCTTGAGAAAGTACATTGCTCAAGCTTGAGAGAAAGAGAGAGAGAGAGAGAGAGAGAGTGTGTGTGTGTGTGTGTGTGTGTGTGTGTGTGTGTTAACAAATGGGTTGTTATAATTGAGATTTGAATTTTTTCCCAGTGTACAAGTTAGATATGATGTTGAATGCTTTAATCACCATTAGTTACATTTAATATTAACTTTCAAAAATGGTTTCTATAAATTGTCATTGGTAGTATTTAATCATATTAATGGTCATTGAGTTGTCTTTATTTGCCTTTAAGCCACCCATGGCTTTTGAGCCTATATAAGCATGTGTTCGTAGGTTGTTTAAATATACACCGTTCAAGAGTATTCAAGCTCTTCTCTTCTTCCTCTTAAGTTCTTCCTTTCTTGTATATATTTCTATTGGTCTATTACCATGTTTGTTTAATCTTGAAGAGTTGCTAATAACTGTATTGAAATAGCTCTTAAGGACAATATATTTAGGCATAACTCAAAACAAATTTATTTACGTGATTTTATAATAGTTAGCTAGTTTGACACTTGTTTAATGTCACATTGCTTAGCCTTAATCACTCATTCAGTTCACTTAAACAATATTTATCAATACAAATTCTTTTATCATACAATATACATAAAGTACTTAAAATATAAGGAGAATCACATCTAAATACCTCTCAAGAGAATTATTCACCAATAAGGACTAATACAAAATTATTTGTTGTTAAAATAGTAATAGATACTTGCTTTTTCCTGAATGGTGACTTGTTAATCCCTGTTTGGAAATAATTCTCTAGGGAGATTATTAGATGCGATTCTCACTAAAATATATGTGCCCCACAACATATTAAATTTACTTTTTTTGTAGTGCTATATATCTTTTTAACAACGTCTATCAAATTTTTATCATTATTCAAATAATAAAAGATAAATTAAAGTGTACTATTATTTAGATCATAAACATTTGACACACTGTTATATGTGCTAACTCAATCATATTCCTATCCCTACTTTAAGGTGTGCTTGGTTTTCAATTTGAAAAAAAAAAATATGTTTCTAAAAATTTAATTTGTAAAAAATTCATTTGTATTTTGATATTTGTTAAAAGTCAATTTAATAAATTAAAAATTGTTTAAATAATATGAAAATAGGTTGAAATTTGCCCCAATCCATAAGTCAAAAGTTACCCAGAGCTATATTTGTTGAATGGACTTTCAACTAAATCTCAAAGGTAAGACAATAAATATCTAAACAACATTTAACATTTGGATGACATGTTAAAATTATTCTTCAAATAGAAAAAGTTATATCCACACACAATTTTATGATCACAAATTTTTCAATTAAAAAGAAACATAAGGCCCCCTTTAGCATGCAAAAATTTTGAAGAAGGGATCAAAAACAAAAATGGATTCTTTAGTGAGGCTTGCTTTATTGATCTAAATTGTTATTCTCAATGATCTAAATTCAAGGAAATTTCCTTAATTTGAATTCCATCAATAGTGACAACAAAACTAAGGTAATTTCTTGAAATTATTTTCAATAAACCTTCCAGCCATCCATTGTGCTTGCTTTATTTTTTATCCCCCATGCAGCTCCATCACCTTTGCACCCCATAATCATTATTGTGCCTCCATCATCCATCATCTCCTGCACCTATTCATTCTTCTTCTTTGAATGGTAGATAAGGTCTTTCATAGCAGATCATAGGTCTTCATGGCTCTTCCATGACATCAAGCATAAAACCTCCAAATCCAATTGCAATAGCGGCTGAAAAATCTAAAGGGACCTATTGTGCTTTTTATTGGATCTGACCCATCCTAATCTCATCTTCATCACTTTTATGCATAGCTTAATATATGTTCATTGGCACTTCACTCTCCTCTTCAACTTCAATCTCCTCTAGTGACAAAGCTCTCCTCTTATGACAACATCTCCTCCAATGAAGTCGTTGATTTGAAAACATGTAGTTTTATGTGGATATGTCAAAAAAATTGAGTCTCACATTGTTCAAATGAAAGGAACAAGTGTATGCATACTAAAAAATGAAATTAGGTTAGTAAATGGGCTAATGAAAGGAGTGATCTTATGTGTACATGAATTGCCAATGTTCAATCTAGTTAAAATCCAATGATTTACTCCCTTGTGTATGAAGTAGACGTTGTGTTGGAATTTCTTGCAAAAATATTTTTGCTATAAATCAAATATTTATTTAAAAAGAGCTTATTAGAAAAGTTTTCATTTAATTGGTTTTAAATTTTAAAACACATGAAATCTGAAACATTACAATTTTTTTATTTGATTTGCTAAGAAATCTTGAGATGAACAACATGATATTTTTTTTAAACAAAAAAAGGTAGACTCAATTCATCTTAGTCCTTGACCTATCTTACTAGAAAGACCCAATCTTGATCAAAGTCCAGACTCATGACTCCATATTGAGAGAACTCAAGGTTTTGGATCTTTTTTAAATATAAGATTTGGATTTTTGGTAAACAAATTGTTTCTTCAGTCTCTTTTTTTAGGTGGGACTTATCTGCTTATGCTATAGCCCTATCCATCTTTTGAAAAACCAACTAAAAGCTAGTGATAATAAATAGAATATGAGATTTGAATGGCTAGGAGAGATGTTCATAATTAGTATTCAACTATATTTAAATATGATTTTTCTTAAAGGAATGAGACTTGTGCATACTTAAAAAAAATTAAATGTGTGTTTATGTTCTTTGCGTTATGTAAGAATTGCTAATTTTCTCCTTCTATAGAATAGAGATAAGAGAGATATTATTTGCTTTACTTGGAAAAAAAGAAGATATACATGAGTGGGTTACAGTTTTCACCTTAATGAAAAAAATCACATTTTTCTTTTTATTTCTTTTTAACTTCACCTTTAAAGTACTTCAAATATTCATCTTTCCTACATTTGTAACTAACTACACAATTAATGGCTTTATAACCTAGTAGCATGTAAACTCTTTTATAAGTGAAAGGTCTCGAGTTCAATCCTGCTTATAATCTCATGCCATTAGTCTTGCTATGCTAATTTGAAAAAAAAAAAACCACATAAATGTAACTAATCAAACAATTGTCTTGTCCTACATAACACTATTTTCATTAATTTTGACAAACCACAAGGGGGTAACTAAAGATCACTTATCATATTAGAATATAAATAACACAACACTTGAGCGTAGGTTAAGTGGCAGTAGTTAAGTTCAGATTTTCATGATGTAACAATATATATGTGAAAATATAATAGAGAAGTGATGTAAGAAAACAAGAGTACACATGACACACAGATAGAGGATAGGAGAAAATTGGAAGAAATCAAGACCACAATTAGTAGGATATTTTTAAAAATATTTCTCCATCAATCAAATTAAAAACTAAACACCCATTCATGCCTTCTCAGAAATTTAAATGTATATGCACTTCAAAACTAAACGTACCCTTTCGATTAGGGGATGTGATTTATCCCCAAAAATAAATGATTACACATGACCTCCTATTTCAATCCAATTACATCCCAAACTCTTCTTCAATCCCTTTAAATTCCCTATTTCCCTAATCTATAATGTTTCACTCCAATTACCTATAAAAGCGTATGAATTGGCAAGAAGCACATAGTTTGAGGAATTCTAGGGCCCTACCTTGTAAAGATTTCCAGAAATGCACTTCACCATTGTTGGATTTCCATGCAGTTTGCAGGCTCCCAATAGTGTGCTCCACATTACAGCATCAGCTTTAAAAGGCATTTGAAGAAGAAGAGCCTCAGCTTTCTTAAGCAACCCTGATCTTGCAAGCATGTCAACCATACATGTATAATGCTCAATCTTGGGTTTGATCATATGTTTATGAATTATGTTATTGAACTAGCGACAACCCTCTTATACCAAACCATTGTAACTACATACATTAAGCACGTCGATAAAAGTTACATCATTTAGAGAAACAACGAAAGGTCCTAATTGCACCATCTTGTTATAAAGTTTCAAGGCTTTCATGGCTTCTCCATTTTGAGCATACCTGCATATAATTCCATTCTATAAAACTATATCTCTCTCAAACATGCTTTGAAACATTATGAGTGCATGCTGCATTTCACCTCATTTACAATACATATCTGAAATTGCACTCCCCACCACCAGATTGTTTTGAAATCATATTTTATAGTAACACCATGTAGTTGTTTTCCTCTTTGTAAGGTGTTTCTGGATGCACATAAGCCAAGCATACCACCAAAGGTGAATGAATTTGGTTTCACATCAGCCAATTGCATTTCATAAAAGAGCCACATGGCTTTGTCCATATGTCCACTCTGTGACAGACCAATGCACTGTCAACTAAGTCACACTTTGTACGCAACTCTAACGAGGAATTAGTGATGAATGGATCAAAGGAAAACTCAAGTTTGATTGCATATGATTGGACTTGCATTGCTTCCATCAGTTGCAAGTAAGACGCCATTTCATTTAAATTATTGCATGAGTATACTCATCAGCAAAAATTCCTTCTCTATGCATTTATTTATACAAACTTAAGCAAAAATCCCTAACTCACATCTAGAGTAGCTAGAAATCAAAGCATTCCAAGTAACCAGGTCTCTACTGGGCATTTCACCGAACACCTTCTTTACATCCTCAATAACCCTATAACTCGCAAACATCTGCAAGAGATTAGTCCCCAAATAAGAATCCAAAATCGAGCAAACCTTAGCAATCTCAGCATGAACCTGATGCCTAAAACTCAAACCGTAAAAGGGTAGTAATATGGAATACATATTCCCATCAGGCTTAATAGAACTCTACCTCATTTTCACGAAATGGGCCATGGCGTCTTCATTCTCTAGTTCTTCACATACCCAGAAATGAGTATGTTCCATAAATGAGAATCCTTCATGGGTATGGCAAAGAAGGTTTCCAAGGCTTCAGGAAGGAAACCAGAGCTGAAGTAGCTAGAGAGAAGAGTGTTGTGTGAAATGACATTGGGGTTGGGCATGAAACGTAGGAATTTCTAAGCACTAGATAAGGTGTGGGATCTGATGTAAGCTTGAAAGAAGAGGTTGCAATGATAGACATTGTTCTCGAGACCCTTCTTGACGATTGATGCATGAAGTGTTTAAGCTCTGTACATGTGAAAGATGATGGCCACGTGAGATCATTGGCGATGTATCTTAATGGAATTTAAAATCCATTTCCGTATACTCCCCGATATCAATCACATTTTAGAAACAAAATTTAGTTCACTTTATAAGTTATTAATTAATAAAATTATTTTGTTTTAAATTAAAATGCGTAAACTATCCTTAAAAAGTAAGAAAGATAAAGACAAAAAAAAATATTATATATTTTTCTTATTTTTCACTTTTTATTTGAAGGTTATATTTAAAATTTTATTTACTTTTATTCTATATACTTTTGCTATATTAATATTAATGAGATTGATAGAAATGATTTATAAATAAGATTGAAAGGAATAATTCGCAAAAGTGAAGATGGAATTTCTTCTCATAAATTTTACAAGTTATTTATTTTATAACAAAATTTTACTATTAATATTACTAACATTTTAAAATTTACCTGTTTTTATTTGATTAAATAAATTAATAAACTTTTATTGTTGTCATAATTTTCTCATAGAAAAACTATTTATTTATACTTGATGCAATTATCAAAGATTAAGATAGATGTAAAAAGAGTTTTTTTTTAGTTAAGGGATTAAGTTAGATGAAGTAACAAAAATGTTTCTTTTCCTCAAATCTAAAATCTCATTCTCATTTTCAACTATAAAATATATTATACTCACTAAGTTGATGGTAAATATTCAAAGTATTTAAATATTGATATATGATTATAAATGGACTACAATTATAATCATTCAGTTACGAGGGTTTTGTTATTTTTTACACAAGTTTTTTCTATTTGTTTTGAGATAAAAAGCAAAAATCGCACCTCAATTATTATAAACAAGCCACACTCCATAATTTTTAAAAACTCCTTCCATAATTTTTTATTAATGTATTTTTAAAGAACATTGAACCAATTTACTCTAAATTTTTATATTATTTATTTTATAACAAATTCTTATTACTATTATTACTAACAATTTAAAATTCATCTTGTTCTAATTTGATTGGATTAACTTATAAATTTTAATTTTTTTATCCCAATTTTCTTATGGAAAACTTATTTATTTATGCTTAATAGCATTAACAGAGTTTAAGATAGATTTAAAAAGATTCTGTAAATTATTTTTTAAAATTAAACGATTAAATTAGAGCAATATAAAAAAGGATAATTTTGAGATAATATTAAACTAAATTAAATAAACTAAAATGAAATCATCTTCATGAAAAATTGATTGTCAAATTGCTTTTCTCTATCTATATATAATTTTTATTGTTATTAGTTATAAACAAAACAATATATTTTTTATACATAGCACTTATTATATACTTCTAAAAAACCAAAATTTTCCCCAGGAAATACAACTCTTCTGCACGAATACTAACTCTTATTTGGTTGGAGAGGAGGGAAAGGAAAATTCTAATAAATTCAATTTTAAAACAATGAACAAGTTTATAAAAGTTGAACAAAGAGAGTATGTAAATTAAAAGAATAACGATAATTAATTAAAATGTTTTAACCTCACTCCTCAGTCCTCAATATATTAACATGACTTCTGTTAAGTTGAAAGGGGGAAAGACCAATTAAAATCTCAGTACAACATCAAGTATAAATCATAGCTTCAGAACTGAACATTGGTAGCAGATTAATGGGTAAAGAAACAGTTCCACTAATCCCAACAAATGTATTGTACGAACTCCTTCTGTAGTATACCAAAATCAAACCAGTTAGGGAAAATGAACACCAGGCACAAGTATGCATCAACTTCCTGTCTTCTTCTTCTTCCTCCTCCTCATCCTCCTTCTGTAACACATCATTGGACTGCATTTAAATTTTATTTGGCTGCTTTGCTTGTACAAGCATTTCAACCACTTCTCTCATGGTGGGTCTCTCCACACTGTGTTCTTGAACACAAAGCATGGCCACAAAGAACACTTGCTTTGCTTCCTCTAAAGGGATACTACTATGCAGCCTCTCATCAAGGACCCTCACCGCCTTGTCTTTGCTCCAGTTGGTTTGTATCTTTGTCCACTGAACAATGTCTAGTCCTTCTTCTCCAAAATCGCCCACCGGCCGCCTCCCTGTCAGGAGTTCTAGTAGTACCACTCCAAAACTATAAACATCACTCTTCTCATCAACTTTTAATGTGTATGCATACTCTGTTTCCAAACATAATATCATTGAAATCAGCATATCTCAGCTCTTTTGATATGCATAATGGTAAGCGGAATGAAAAAGAAATTTGACCAATGATAGAAGGAAAATAGATAGTTAGGTCCCAAAATATTACATTAATAACACTTAAGTCCAATAAAATTTTATAAAAAAATGAATTGCAAATATCAATTCAAATAATTACAAATAAGAATTCAGGATGCGATTCGAAAGTTTTGAATTTTCACTTGTTTAAATTGATATTTATAACTCATTTTTTATTAAAAAAATTGTTATGGACCTAGTTGTTATTAATTCAAAGTTTTGAGATCTAACTATCATTTTGCCAAGAAAATAACTACCCTGGTCCTACTATAAAAAAGTAATCACAAAAAATAATCAATATTACAAAACAAAACAAAGAAGGGTCCTTTCCTCACTTGATACAAAATAGGGTTATTGAAAAAATCGCATAATAAGGAAAATTAAAGTGAGAGAATGCATTAAAAACTCTTATAAAAAAAGATTCGATGCCATGTTTCCAAGGTAACAAATCAAACTTACACCACTGATTTATTCTTGTTTCTTTTTCTAGGGTTTTGAGAAAGTGAATCTTAAAGGAAATATGAAGCCAAGCCATGAGCCTGATCAGGGTGAGGAAATATATGCTTTTGGGTTAACGTGCACTTTGATGGCTGCCAAGCTGGTCAAAAGATGATTACTGTGCTGTGATTTGGTTTCTGAACTTGTTGAATATAAAATAAAATCTGGGTTTATGGTTTCAAGGCATGCAAGCAAAAGCTCTTACATCCACTTAGCATGAAAGAAAAAAGCAAAAGAAGAATTTTCCTTTGCGTTAGTGGAGCCTTTACCCCCATTCTAGGAATCTACGTATATGACATGCCACACTCTGTGGCCCCACAATGAAAAGACAAAGTATATGCCATTGAGATCAATATATTATATTATTTCAACTCATGGACTCGTGTCACTTAGTTTAGTTTAGATGCAATAAGTGTATGAATTTTATGCTTTTTTTCTAATTTCATGTAGGGATCAATAAAAAAGGAATAATTACTCTGAACTTTTGTTTGGGACAATAATGTTTCAGAACTCAGTGGATGGCAAATTAGATTGAAAGAACAGAGGCTAGAAACCCATTTGAGAGAGTGTTACTTTTTCATATAATTTAGATTACTGAAGTAAATTTGAAGATGATTCAATCATTATTCCAAAGAACTATGTCTTCTGAACTTGAAGGAAATGGCTAATTAGATTGTGAGAAACAGAAGGTAGAAGAAAACCTACTTGAGAAAGAGCATGGATTTTTGGAAATTCACGTTTAGATTGTTGAAAGAAATGCATACCTGGAGCAATATAGCCATAAGAGCCAGCAATGGAAGACATGCATTCTGATGTCCCAGTGTCTTGTAAGAACTTGGCAAGTCCAAAGTCAGCCACATGAGCCTCAAACTCAGAATTCAACAATATGTTATTAGACTTCACATCTCTATGTATTATCAATGGTGAACAATCATGATGCAGATAACAAAGCCCTTTTGCTGCTTCAATGGCTATCTTAAGCCTTGTTTCCCACTTTAAAAACTCACCTCTCTTCCCATGAAGCACTTCACCCAAACTCCCATTTGGCATGTACTCATACACAAGCAAATTTGTCTCTCTGTTTGAAACAAAAGCTAGTAATCTCACAATGTACCTGTGTCTTATCCTGCCCAATGTTCTTATTTCTGCAGATAAACCATTGTCATGATGAGAAGATCCTTTGTTGAATCCTAAGAGTTTTTTCACTGCTAGCTCCTCACCATTTGGCATGGTGCCTCTGTACACAATCCCAGCTCCTCCTCTTCCTATCACATTGCTCTCCTTTATGCACCCCAGTATGTCTTGACTGCCATATTCTAGCTTCTGAAATGCTGTGAGCTTCCATGAATTTGAATTCCTCCTTGCCTTCTTTCTGCTTTTGATAATAGCTAAGGCTGCAAAAATAAAAGAACATCCCAGCAGTGCAAGTACAAAAAGAAGCTTGTACTTCCCAGGAACTCCAGATTTTGTATTGTTAGTCTCGCCAGAATCTGAAAATGAGTTTGATGAATGAGTCCTACATGGGTTTAGATCATACCCACATAGATTTGGGTTTCCCTGGAAGAAAGATGAGTTCAAGACAGTGAACAGCCCAACGTCAGGAATTGAACCAGAGAAGTTATTGTGAGAGAAATCTGCTGAGGTTAACCCTTTCATGGTCCCTATTTCTTTTGGGAGGCTCTGGTTAAGGTTGTTCCTTGAGACATTAAGATAGTTTAAGATGTGAATTTGGGAAATTTGAACAGGGATAGGACCTGAAAGTTGGTTCTGGCTTAAGTCTAAGCATGTGAGCAAAGTACAGTTTCCTATCTCTGAAGGAATCCTACCTGATATATTGTTTCTGCTCATATCCAACTTTAACAGATTCTTCAACCTCCCTATATCTGGTGGGATTTCTCCAGAGAATCTGTTTTCACTGAGGAGAAGATTCTGCAAATTTGGGAAATTCCCAATTGATTCTGGGAGAGACCCCGAGAGGCGATTGTTTGATAGATTCAACTGCTCAAGTTTTGATGTTGAATTTGCTGAATCTTGAGGAAGAACACCAGTGAGATAGTTGTTCTGCAGCTCTAGTAGTAGAAGTTCGGGAAGATAAAGAAAACCGGTAGGTATTTTTCCTGTTAAATAGTTCTGACCCAAGCGAACTCTTTGAAGTGTGTTGCATTCTCCAAGGTCATCAGGCAGAGAACCAAAGAGAAAATTATTGAGCAAGATTAAGATCTTGAGCTTCTTCCCAAGGCAGAGAGATTTTGGGACTAACCCAGTAAGCTTATTTGATGAAAGATCAAGCTCAACTAACTTCCCATTCTGGCCAAGTCCCGGAGGGATAGAACCAGTGAAGTTGTTCTTCCATAGATTTAAAGTTTCAAGCTTTGGGAGCTCAGAGATGAACTGAGGAATCTCACCATGCAATTTGTTGATGAACAAGTTGATGAGTATGAGCTCATGAAGGTTTGAGAATTCAAATGGGATTTCTCCAACCAGCTCATTGTTGGAAAGATCAAGAGATCTCAAGCTGCTCAAATTGCCTATCTGAGGTGGGATTGAACCAGTAAGCTGATTGGTTTGCAAGAAAAGCGTGTCTAATTTTGAAAGCTTGCCTAATTCTGATGGAATTGTACCATTCAAGCTACAATTTGCAAGGTCTAGATGAACCAGATTGATTAGATTCCCAAGCTCACTTGGGATTCCACCGTCAAACTTGTTGAAATATCCCAAGTATAAATGGGTCAAATTAGTGAGATTCCCAAGCTCCCTGGGGATAAACCCACTTAGATCATTCCCAGCAAGAGAAAAAAAATTCAGCCCCACCATTTTCCCATAGTCTTCTGGGATTCTCCCGGAAAAGTAATTCCCGCCAAAATTCAAGTGCCTGAGCTTGGGAAGATTGGTGACACCGAGAGGTAGCTCGCCGTCGAAGTCGTTGTCATAAGCATCAAGAACCTCAAGCTCGTTCATGTCGGAGAACTCCCAGCTCATGTTCCCAGTGAACATGTTGTTGGATATGTTGAGGAATTGCAGCCCGGGCAGCCGGAGAATCTCCGACGGAAACTCGCCGGAAAAGCTGTTTCCGGCAACCGAGACATAAGCAAGACCTCGGAGCTCGGCGATGACAGGGGAAAGAAACCCAGAAAAGTTGTAATCGGATATGTCAAAGGACACCACAGAGTTGTTGCTACGGTCACATTTGATGCCATCCCAGGAACAGAGAGACAGAAAGTTGGAGACATGCCAGGATTGAAGAGAAGAATTCTGAGGTTGAAAACCTCGTCTAAGAGAGAGCAAGATTGAAGCTTGCCTTTTGAGAGACAAGAGAGGAGGTGATGAGACAGAGGAAGAAGATGTAGTGAGGGAGAGAAGAAGAAGAAGAACGGAGTGAAAGAAGAGAGAAGCCAAAGAAGAAGAAGAAGAAGAAGCCATTGATGAGATATTCTAAGTTGTAACAGAGGAAGAAGATATTCTAACTGAGACGCAATGAATATACACAGAGAGCGAGCGAGCGAGTTCTTGTAATGAAGTGAAGAGCAAAGGCAGAAGAAGCAGCAGCAGGCAGCAGCATCCGATGACCTTTAGCTTTTTTCTTTTTTGAGACACTCTTCCTCGCTCCTCACTCTTCATTTCATCAATCCCTATACCTTTAGTTACACTGCAATCTTCCAAAGCGGGTTTAAACATCATGCAACAGAATCATGAAGGACTGGATTTGGTATGAATATGATACTCCTTCCACTTCTCATTTTTTAAATTATAAAAAAATATGCAATTTTATTTTTATTCTTTTATAATTAATAATCATAATAAATTGACGTTTAGAAATCCAAACCACAATAAATAAAGAAGGATGAAATTAAAAAATAAAATTAATTACTATAACTTTATCTTGCATTAAGGATAAAAGGGTTTTCAAAATTTTTCTTGTACTTTATCTTTATCGATTATCATATCATAATATAAATTATTGTTAATTAATTTATATTTTAAAAAAAGTTAGTTAAAATCTTATTTTTTAAAAACTATTACATTTTTTCAATTGTCACTTTGAAAAGAATAAATATAATGGTGTAATTAATAAAAATATGTAAACTTATTAAATATCCTATATTATAAATCAAGTGCGGCTTCAGAAAATATCATATATCATAGTCGCACTTCAAAAGGAAGCATTAAGGACTTGGAAGGAGTATATATTATTTTTCACGTAAAAAAAAAAAAAGTTCAATGCACTTCTATTCATGTAACCAAACTACCCTTGACCAAAAAAAAAAATGGTGCATTGATAATCTAATAATGATACATCATCTCAAAACCAGGATAGGTGGATTGGCTGACCTATCAAACGCATGACAACGATTTGGATAATGCAGACTTTTTTCTGTCTAATGATCTAATTTAGTTTTGCTCCTTTACACAACTTTGGCCTTATATTTGAAAAAAAGAAAGATATAATATTAATATAGTATGAGAGCAAATTGCAATGGGTATCTTTAAATTTCAAGTTTTGTCTTTAAATTGATCGAAAGTTTGTATATTTTTGTTATATCCACTAGTTTTTTAAAAATTATATTACTAAGTCTTAAGTGATCCGAATTAAACCACACAGCTAGGAGAAAAGCTTTTCTAATAATACTTCCATCTAAATACAAAACTCAAACTCAAATTCAAAATCTTACTTAAAAACAAGTCTTAAATTACTTGAATTAGTTGATGTTGATAAACTTCCCTAATAGTATCTAGGTTTATACTATCACACCGCACCATTAAGCAACACGATTAAGACGTGTAAATCCTTTATGAATGTATGGCCAAAAAAATAATAATAATAACTTCATCTTATTTAGTAACACCGTCTTGAATTTGTTTTTTTTTTTCACACAATATACAATCAAAATCACAAATGAACTCGATTATTGTCATCTATATTGGTAAAGAGAGTCACATTTCATACTGGCATAGAGTTTTCAATAAGAGTCGGCTTTGAGCTACAATTTTAAACTATGTATTTTTCAAGGCTCGTGCTTGAAAACATACAAAAATTTAATATAATAAGACTTTTAGACTTTGCCTTTAATAGCTTGAACTTGATTTTAGGCTAGCCCTTAAATTTTTTTTAATTTTATTTATATAATTTATTTAAAATTTTAAATTAATAGATGATAATAAAATAATTTGTTAACTATTTATTTTAGGTGATAAATATAAATTTAATGATCTCGTTGAAATAGCATGACCTTCTCCAAATAAACCTCCCTCTATACGGTTTACTGTTTTATTTTTAAATGAAGATTGATGATAACAATGACTAAAGAACATTTATATTTTAGATATTTAATTAAGGTATTTTTTAATTTATATATGTATTAGTATAATAAAAAATATTAATTAAACAAAAGTTATGCAAGTTTTTAGACCCGATCCTGAGCCTTATTGATAAGGGCTAGTTTTTAGGAAAGTATTGATTTTAGGATAAAAAAGCATATAAGCTCACACTAGAAGCTTGCATAACTTTTGTTTAAATATAAAAAATGTCATGATATTTTTAAATAATTAGACATTATTATTCTTATATTAAAAAAAAAAAAAAATATTTATTGTATACTTTATCCACCCCAGCATCATATTAATTGACACTATTAAAGATAAAATTAACAAAAATATTATAATTTAATGTAATTTTAATTAAATAATAATTTTTTTATTGATCTGTGAGGTTGGAATATTAAATACAAAATAGTGAGCAAACAATATTGAGGCAGCGAAATGCTGAGAGTTACTGCTATTTTTAGGGTCGCGTGGAAGCTTTTCATGACAAAGCAAAAGCAAAAGCAGTGTTTGGTTACAAGTGTACAACCCACAGACCGATCCGCCAACCAATTGTTTTTCTTTAGGCGGTTTGTTTAATTTCGGTCACTTTTTGAGATTGCTCTTTAATTTCTTCTCCTCACTTCTTTTAGCTCTTTTATGGAGCAATTCCCAATTACACCTCCATTTCAAGTAAGAAAGTGAGAAATAATTATAAAAGTTTGTTGGAGACATAATCAGTTATAAAATGTAGGTATTTTTTTAGAGAGATACAAATATTGATTCATAATACTGTAAGGAATTATTAGTCTAGGATTAGACCCAATTCTTTTTATTATTATTTTATTATTATTATTATTATTATAATAGTAATAACAATTTCCAAGATACTATAATTTAATTACCTTTTAATTAGTAGTTTCTATTCAATCATAAGTGAATTTATAGTTCACTGTTTGAAATAAAACTTGAATTACCACTAACTTAAGTCATCATTCTAGGAACTCAAATCATCTCCCTACATTCTTATAAGTGAATTATTATTATTATTATTATTATTATAAATCATCTCCCTATGCGATCTTTGCTATCCATACACTACTTCCTTAATCCAATAAGCCAGCATCATGTATGCAGCCATTCCTGTTAGAGAAGATGATGGGTGCAGATCTATGGTCTTGAAACTATTGGTAACAGCATCACTTCTCTTAATCATAGACAAGAATGCAAGGCACAAGTTTAACTTTTGCTTCAGCAAAGTGTGAACCGTTGGATCAAGGAAGTATTATGTGGATGACAAAGATCGCATAAGGAGAGGGCTATGGAGATAATGTAGGGAGAGGATTTGGATCCATCATTCTAGGATTTGAACCCTCAATTTTTCACGATAGGAGGTGTAAAATTACCATTTTGACGTATGAACCCTTAGTGAAGATAAATATTCTCTCAAGTCCTTATTACATGGTGCTTTTTAAAAAAATTCTTTAATTCTTAATATAAAGAACATAGATGGTTATTTATTATCATTTTTCAATTTCATCCCATAAAGAGAATGCATCATATTCAAGGAAATTTATTTTTACTTTTCTAATTCATATCTTTAAGAGGGGAAAAATTAAATTTTTTTTGTTTTAAAACATATTTAATGAGTTAATTATCATTTCTTAGTCCTAGAAAAATAGTTAAAAATGTTTTATAATAATATATCAACTAGTTAAGCATACTAAAAATTAGTTAGATTACATTCACACAAACTTGAACTTGAGACCCCGTGATTAAATAATTATAATCTTATTCACACAAACTTGAACTCAAGACCCTATGATTAAATAGTCATAGTCCTCTTAGGATTAATGTTAGTTGGTAATTGGATCTTCTCTTTTGAAACCTTAATTATCTCCTAATTTGTAAATAATACCACAAAGTATAGTTATGTGAAAAAAAAAAAAATTTGGCCCTTTTTCCCTACAAATAACTGTAAAGAGGACGTACATGTAAAATTAAAAATAAGCATATAATATTTATTCCCTTTGATTTAAAGTATAAGCAGTTTTTAGGAAAAAATTGCATAATAATAAAGTCATCATTCTCATAAAAATATATATTATTTTTTTCTACCTATAGTCTCAATTATTAATACACTTCATGATGAGTAAAAAATAAATTTATACAAAAATTTAAATTAATAAATACAAGAGGTAAAATAAGAACAAATTTATATGTTTTAAGTTGTTTATATTTTAAAACAAGATTAGATGGGAGAAAATATTTATATTTTGAAAAGGAGGAAGTATTAATTATTGGTTATAAAAAACACACTTGAATATCTAAAATCCACTTCTCACATATATAAATCATAACAATAATTAAACTAGATGATTGTACTTTCCCATTTGTGCATGAGCAATAGGAGAAAGGCAAGAAAATAATTAAAGAAACGGAATGATGACTTATTGAGATGTAGTTTTTTCAAATACTACCTTGTAATGTTATCATTACCAAAGATCATGTGTAGGGTAAAATTATTACAAGTATTCATGGGTTTTTAATATGGTAAAGATATTTGTTTTGGCGGAAAAAAGGTGACTTTATACGTCCAAGACAATAAATTTTCTCAGGCGTGATTGCCAGAAGAAAGAAAAGTCAAAGTATTTGATATATTTCTTTATAAATTTGTGAATTGTGAATCTAAGCATATAATAAATGCGTCCAATTTTAATTGTCAAATTCATAATATAGTTACATTTATTTTTAGGAAATCCATTGTACTTTATACTCCAAGGGTGATTTTTTTTCTTAAATCTAGTGTAAAAATAAAAATTATGTTTAGGTACTTTATATAACCATAGACGACAGATATTTCTCTTAGTAAAACATGGGATGAATTACAATTATTGTATATTTTATTAAATATATAGATATCTTGATGATTATTTGAATAAATTAACTAATTAAATTGAATTTTTTAGTGCTCACAGGTATGCTTATATTCAAGACATGATCAAACATTAAATATTATTACTTTTTACAAAAAAATTGAATATTAAGTGAGAAACAAGCTTATTTTGTTAGAACTGTTGGCAAATTATAGTACTCCCTCTATTTCAGATTATAAAATATTTTTAAATAAAATTTTATTTATTAATAAACCTCATTAAATACACAAAACAACTTTACTTTTTTAAGATAGAAATATAAATTTTTAAAAATGACATTCATTTAATACTCAATTAATGAAAGAATATTGAAGAGAAAGAATATATGAAAAAAATAGTATTGAAAAGTATCATTAATAAAAATTTATTTTTATTAAAGTATCTTATATTTTAGAATGCTAAATTTTTTTAAAAGTATC